TTTCTTTTAATAGCTGCCACCACTTTGAGGCTTTTTTTTTCCTTCTTGTCCCCTTAATTCCACTTAACAGCCCAACCAACCACCCCACACTTATATTTTTCCATATCCGTTACACTTTGAGTCACAGTGTAGTTCAGCTGGTCTCCACTCAACGTTCTACTGGCATAGTAAATTGGATGCATTAGCTTGTCTTTCCGCTGTCCCAGCACTGCCCCCACTGCATAGTCACTGGCGTCACACATGAGTTCGAATGATTGCTCCCGGTCGGGGGCAACAATGATGGGTGTCGTGACTAGCCTTTTTTTTCAACTCCTCGAATGCTACCCTGCAATCATCAGAAAACAAGAAAGGGTGATCTTTTTCTAATAACTTACAGAGAGGGTTGACAATTTTTGTGAAGTCTTTTATGAATCTCCGGTAGAAACTGGCATGCCCGAGGAAGCTCCTGATTGCCTTGACTGAGGTGGGGGTGGCAGCTTTGCTATCATATCAACTTTAGCACGATCCACCTCGATTCCCTTGCTTGATACCCGGTGCCCCAAGTCCATGCTCTCTTGTACCATGAAATTACACTTTTCCCAATTAAGTAACAGGTTAGTCTCAATACATCTTTTCAACACTCGGGTTAGATTTATAAGGCACTCGTCGAACGAGTTTCCCACCACTGAGAAATCATCCATGAACTCCTCCGTTATGTCTTCGACCATGTCAGTGAATATGACCATCATACACCTTTGGAATGTGGTGGGTGCATTGCATAGGCCATAGGGCATCCTCCGAAAAGCATAAATGCCATATGGGCATGTGAAGGAGGTCTTCTCTCTGTCCTCTGGTGCAATGGAGATTTAATTGTATCCTGAGTACCCATCCAGAAAATAGAAGTGGGACCTCCTTGCCAATTTGTCGAGCATCTGATCAATGAAGGGAAGTGAGAAGTGGTCTTTCCGGGTGGCCAGATTTAATTTTCTGTAGTCCATGCAAATTCTCCAGCCTGTGACGGTTCTTGTAGAGATCAGCTCATTGTTATCATTTTTGACCGCCGTCATGCCACCCTTCTTAGGAACACATTGCACCGGGCTAACCCAGTTGCTGTCAGAGATTAGGAAAATGATTCCCGCATCCAACCACTTAATCACCTCTTTTTTCACCACTTCCTTCATGTTGGGGTTCAGCCTTCTTTGGTGCTCCCTGGAAGGTTTGTGTCCCTCTTCCAGCAGAATTTTATGCATACAATATGCCAGGCTGATCCCCTTAATGTCTGCCATGGTCTACCCAATGGCAGTTTTGCACTTCTTGAGTACCTACAAAAGTTGTTGTGTCTGCACATCTAACAAACTAGATGAGATAATAACAGGTAATGTGGAGTTAGGTCCTAGGAACTCATACCTCAGATGGGCGGGCAGTGACTTCAATTCCAGCTTTGGTGGTTCTTCTATGGATGGCTTGGCTGGAGGAGTTTCTCTGTTTTCTAAGCGTAGGGGCTCGAATTCAAGAGTTCTATCCCAAAACCCTCTGCCTCTAAAGCTAGCACCCATTCTGCCAATTCTTCCCCATTCACCTCATCTAAATTTACCAGGCATCTCCTTCAACGCATCGATCAATGGAATATTTACCTGGATTTGTTTCAGCATCTCCAAGAATTTCTTGTATTGTTCCTCTTTCTGGTACTTGGCCAGCCTCTGTGGGAATGGTGCTGGAGGTCTCTTCTTCCCAATGATTTGGGTATTTTCTTTGTCAGGCACCACCTCAACTACCGGTTCCTGGGCTGTCTCAGCTGCTTTCTGGCCTCAATCTGTGTGTTGGTTTCTTCCTGGACAGGCTGTACTGTCACCTCTGTCAGTTTTGTTGCATCATCTAGCTCAATGGGCACTGGTACAAGTGTCTCAACTTGTCTGCTTTCTCGAGCTCTGTCTTGCTCCAAGTCTAAGTCTCTGCCATTTCGTAGACTCACTGCCATCAACTGCTTCAGGCCTTGATCTTTTGATTTATTTGTGTGTCTGCAGGCAATGTCCCATGAGGACGATTATTCAAAGATATCGAAATCTGGTCCATCTGCATTTCAATATTCTTTATAGCTGACTCATGTGCATCTACCCTTTCACTCATTTTTACATTTGACCCAATAACCTGCTGCATCATTGCCTCGAGTCTGGCAAACCCATCTTCCTGTCTTCCACCATGCTGCTGCTGAGGAGGATGATAACCCTGCTGCTGATTTTGATTGTTATATCCCTATGGCCTTTGGTAAGGCACCATATTATTATGAGGTCGCATATCTCCCATATTTTCATTGTTGAGCTGTGGCTGGACTGGCCTGTATGGCTGATTTTGTTGGCCCCAATTCTGACCACCCTGTCTCTGGTCCCCATAATTAGACACATGATTTATGTCCTCGGGGTAATGATGATGCTCACTTTCTGCATTCCACTGGTTACCAATTGGCTGACTAATGCAAGATGTGCATAAACCCCCATTGGTAGTATCAACAATGTGTACCCGCTGCTTCTGCCCTGACTCTTCCACCTTTTTGGTGAGTATACTCATCTGTGTCATTAATGTGGCCATATTTTCAGCAAGAGTGTTGGATGGATCTAAGGGCACTGAGTGAACTACTGGAGTGATAGGTGCATTCCTGGTTCTCCACCCCGAATTCTGTGCCATCTTGTCAAGCAGGCTCTGGTTTTCTCTCCATGTTTTGCTCAAGAATGCTCCACCAGCTGAAGCATCAACATTAGCCTTCACGCTATCTGTCAAACCCATGTAAAACCGCTGCCCCAACATCTGATCTGGAATACTGTGGTGCGGACATATAACCAACATCCCTTTGAATCGTTCCCACGTTTCTTGCAGTGTCTCCATTGATTTCTGTTTGAAGCTCAAAATTTCATCAATTTGCTGAGCAGTCTTGTTGGGTGGATGAAATTTATTCACGAATTGCTTGACTAACTCCTCCCAAGTCGTGATGGAATTAATGGGGAGTGAGTTTAACCAGGTCTGGGCAGCTCCTGTCACTGAGAATGGAAACAACAACAGCTTTATTGCTTTCTGGGTTACGTTTGGCTGCCTCTGAGTTTTGCAGATTGACAGGAAATTCTTCAAGTGTTGTTGCGGATCCTCAATGTACGACTCCGAAAATAGTCCCTTGTTTTGCAACAAGTGCAGCATGTTGTTCGTGATTTGAAACGACTCGGCCTGAATCTACGGGACTAATATTGTTGTGGCCAAGTTCTCAGCTGTGAGTTGTGCCCAGTCATATAGAGCATCCTCTGGCACAAGAGGTGCCACTGCCGCTAACGACGCAACTGGGTCTACCACGTTATCCCCCATGTCTGGTTCGAGTTGTTCAGTTGATTGTTGTTGTTTGTTTTTCCAGTTGGCCCGATTCAAGGCCTTGAAAACTTTCTCGGGATCTGATAATACTTCACCAGTTCTCGATGAGTTTCTAGGCATGCACCTGTACAACCAAGTCAACAAACGTTAAAATTTCAATGTATCGATTGAAAAAAAAAGAAAACTGACTACACTAAGAATTTTTGTATTTCTTTCAACTGTAATTGATAAAACCATTAATTCCCCGGCAACAGCGCCAAAATTTGATCACGCCCAACTATGCCTTATAAAATGGACAAAGCGGTCGCTGCAAATATAATCCGAGTATTTAGCCCAGAGTTGAATCCACAGGGAATTAACCTACCAATTACTCTTGTTAGACTCACTATATTCTTCGTAATCAACTTTTCAGATATTTTGAATAACAATTGGAGATGTTTTTACTAACTATAACTGAATGAAAGCAAGTAACTAACAGCTAACTATGACTGGTTTGTATGCAAGTAAGAGAAGGATCTAAGGTTATGATTTCCCCTATTGATGGAATCCCTTCCTGTTATGTTTCGCATAGATTTGCCTAATCGTCTCTATTGATCATGAGCACTCATATTACCGTAAATCTCTCCCGAGTAATCATGACAATTTACTAGACGCACTCTCCCGAGTTACGCTAGCTGGCTTTTACTACAGCTCACTTTAGATCGCACCCAAGGCTTCGTTATTCCTAATCCCGCCTTTAAGCCCTCGGTTATTGATCCCTCATATACTTTGGGAGTGGTGTTGTTCAACAATTACCTAAATATGCACTCTCTCCCGAGTAATATATACTAAATAGGCACAACTAATTGAGGATCCTATCAATTAACTACAACAAAAACGTAGTTGAACAAATAGAGATTAAACCGGGCAAACTATATTTACATAACACGAAGTTCATCCTTCAACAGGTTCCATCAAAACCCTAGACTAAATATTTAGCTACTCATAGCAAAGCAAGATAAAACTACAAAAGTATTCATAATGTGCAATTAAAAATAACCAAGATAAGATTGAAAAACTCTAATGGTTGATTGCTCTTCTCACACTTGTTCTTGCCTCCAATTTAGTCTAAAAACAAGCTTAACCTTTGCTTGGGCGAGTTTGTTGAGTTTATCAAGGGTTAGAATAAGTTTCCCCCGATTTACACTTTAGTCCCAAAATTTCTGGGCAATTACACAGTCGTCCGCGGCCGCGGCAGAACGCGGCGCGACCGCGGTAAATCGCAACTATTCTGCCTCAATCTTTTGGCCTACCGCGTTCCAGTCGCGGTGGCCTCTTGTCCAGTCCTCCTTTGCCTCTTTCTTGCTTATTTTCGTTTGGGTTCTTCTTGATTGGCCTTATATCCACATTATTGACTCCAAAACACTCCATAGTCTTTTCCTAACTTGGATTAGTCCCTGCAAAGCAACAGAACACTGATTAGAGTATTTTGTTATCATTTAGCCTTTAAAACAACAATAAAGTATGGTATATTTAGAGTGTAAATAACGTCTATATAGCCTACTATCAGTTACATTTAGTGAGGAAATGATCGATGCCTAGCAAAAACATGATGTCCTGTAATAAGCACCTTTCTTTATTTGCTCATCCTTCTACCTGACATCTGCTTTTTTCTTTCCTAAAAGAACTGCAGGTTTGACTTCCTTTCCTGAATATCTGGTCTTGCACATGCGAAAATTCGTCATGGAGGAAGGCTGGGTGCCAAAGAAACTTGGTATGTTGCTTTTTCTATAGCTTTGTATATTTCTGATGGAGTCTATTGCTTTAAATTCTCCTCTTAATTGTTACTCTTATTTTTTGGGGTGGTTGATATGCAGATGTCTATGTAGATGTCCCTGACATCATTGACATACGTAATATGCGCAGTAATGGTCTTCAACCCAGGGAAGAGCTATTACCTGAGACTGGTATGATTACCTTGTCATTGATATAATTTTGATAATTTTCTCTTTCATATATGTCAAATAATGTCATGTGACTATGTATAAATGTGTGCTTGGCTAATGTGAGTTGACCATATACTTTGTCTTGCCTACCTTTTTATGCCAGTCATGCTTTGCAAGAATTTATATTCATACTCCTTCAAAACCCCAAGTCCCTTCAGAAAATAATGCATGTGACTGAAGAAGATGGGAAGTTATAGGATCAGAACTGTAGGTGAAATAGCTAGGTTGGTGATGATATCAAAAGAATTTACTCATAGTTTCATTTATCCATTCTATGGGGGCGATTGGTCTACTGCTTTGCTGAGCAGATTGCTTTGACTTTTTCAGTTTTGTTAGGAGCCTTGCTTTGCTTCACATCTTTTATGTCATGCCTCTATTTCGATGTTGAGGTCATTGCCTCTTGTGAGAGAGAAGAAGTGTGTTAAAGTGGCTATACTGACTTCTGATTGAATCAACTTGAAGCAAAGTGATTGGATGAGTTCTTTCTGGTAAAAAACATTGGTCCCCTTGCAAAGTACCCTGGCTGATAGGTTACTAAGTGGAAGACTTCCTCGCCCACATGTTTTATTGATTCATTAGTGTTCAAAGTTTGTATTCCTGTTCTTTGACTGCAGTTAAGCGCGATTGTTTCAATCTCTCATTACTAAGTTCTTCTCCCTTTGCGAACCAACAACAAACAACTATGCCTCAGTTCTAAATGAGTTGGGCCCAGCTATATCAATCCTCGCTGACCATGTTTCTCCGTTTAAATTCATCTCAGGTCAATATTATACAAACTAAAAATAAAAATAAAACGTACAGTAACGATAACAATAAAAATATAAATTACAAATAAAAATATGAAGTACAAATTAAAATAATATGTACAAATAAATTTAAAAAGTACAAATAAGTTCTCCCTTTACACCTTGTAGAAAAACATTAGACTATTTTTTGCTTTTATTAGCATTGCAGTGTGGTTGCTCTTAACCAACTTGGTGGATTGTTCTCTAAATCAACATGTCTGTTGAGTAAATAAATAGCAGATTTCACCTTATGAGTTCTTGACCCAAAGTGTAGATACCCAGTGTAAATACTAAATTCAAGTACTTCAGTAACTTGAAAAAGGTTGGAAAATTCAAAAAGAAATATTTTTTAACTCTAAAAATTCTAACAAGAAAAACAAAATTTCATGTCCTTTATTTTGAAAGGCTTATTCTACTGTGGATCCAGACCCCATCTATGGGATTTCACTAGGTTTGTTGTTGTATATTCTACTGTGGTTATCTCTGGATTTGTTATTTTTACACTGAATTGTTTTTCCAGTCAGTAAATTCTAGTTCAAATATTTTATAGTTGGTTTTAAAGTCATATCCTATGTGTTCTTGTTGTTTCATTGTTGGGAGTTGTGATAAAATATTATTGCATATACATAGGGATAGAAACAGACTCTAAATACCTCAATGATTTGCCTTTCGAAATTGAAACATTCTGATCACCATTTAATCTATTGCCTTTCGAAATTGAAACATTCTGATCACCATTTAATCTATTCCCTGATAATTGGTCACTTTTCTGAAGCTTTTATAATTTTTGATTCTCATGCCCCAAGACATATTTATACCCGTTCTAGTAAGACATTTTGTCTTCAGCTTGTTAGCGTTTCTATTTTTGTGAATGACAATTGTACATCACGCTGGATGTATTCCCTACTTGTATGCCAAGTCTATATATGTTCTGAATGTTCCGACTCTTGTGTTAAAAATTTCTGGGTAATTCAATAAACCTCATTCGTGATCCATGTGGACAGCTGCTGGAGATGGTGAGGAATCTCCGAAGCTTTTGGCTGATGAGGTTATTGTTGCACAACTTGTTTCAATGGGATTTAATTATCTGCATTGTCAGAAGGCTGCAATCAATACTTCCAACTGTGGAGTTGAGGAAGCAATGAACTGGTTGCTTGCTCACATGAATGATCCAGGTGCTGTTAGAGTCTTTAGTTGCTCAAGCTTTTGAAGTTTCTAGATGATGAGAATATTGCTTTTTATGTTCTTTCCAGATATTGATTCTCCAATATCCCAAGATGTACAAACTCCACATATTGATCGATCAAAAATTGATACACTGGTTTCCTTTGGTTTTGAAGAGGAACTTGCTTGTAGGGCGCTGAAGGCATCAGTAAGTCTCAATTCCAAAGGTTTTCAGAAGCTATATGCTAGGCTCTTTTATTAAGTGTTGCAATTACTATGGCTTATCTTTTTTCCCGGTTATTGTTTGTGTTTCCAGGGTGGTAATGTTGAGCAAGCAGCTGAATGGATATTTAGCAATCCTAGTGCTTCTGCTGCATCAGATATGGATGTTACAACTAGTAGTGGAGCTGCGGTCGATACCTTGCTGCCTGATGGAGGAGGAAGTTAGTTCCCCATCCCTGCTTCTATTAGTCGCCTTATAATTTTACCTAAATCTTACCTGTTTGCAAAAAAATACACAAGTGAGCCTAGGAGCGCCCTTCTGTTTTCTATTCCTGTTTATGTTTTCATAGTTTAACTGCGGAGCCTAGGAATTTATTTGGTAATAATAGTCAATCACCTGGTCTTGGATTACGTATACAGAATGTTTTTTCTACCGTGAAAATTTTCCTTTTCATCTAAACTCAACTCACATGTGGTTGCCCTTTGTTTACAAATTTTGCTGCTTCTAGTATTTTGGAGGGGGAAGTGCTTGGCTTTTCATGATATAACTTTTCAGCATTGGATTTAGAAGAGTTCACATTTATGGGAATTTTTTCGACTGAGCGATCAAGACTGTCCTCTTTCTTTGACCCCACGACTTTTTGTTTGGACCAATTGCAAATACCAGAGAATGTTCCTGAGCATGGTCCAAGAAGACTTTAGCAAGTTAAGGCTGTAGATTTGAGGCAAAACACCTAGTTCTTCTTGCATAAGCTGTTTGAGTGTTGGATCATACTTAATACTGGGAGCCCCCAGGACTTTGGTTCAATACTAAATGTAGTATGACGATTGATGTGTGGTAGACGCACGTCACGCTCGAATATTTCTAGGAACCAAGTCTGGTATTTAAGTGGAGAAGGGTAGAGGGGCATGCCAATTGTTTACCGAGTTCCACAACCAGATTTCGGTTGTTAAAAATAAAATAGAAAAATTGAATACTGGGAAATTCTAATCATGTTCTTGGTCCAACTGATGCATATCACCCATCCATACTGGTGAAATATTTGCTTCTATCTCAGGTAAGTTCTTGCTACTTGATTATTTGACAAAGTTTGCTTTGAATAAACAGGATACAGGCTCCTTGGATTGGTGAGCCACATTGGTACCTCTACCCATTGTGGCCATTATGTAGCTCATATTCTCAAGGATGGTAGGTGGGTGATTTTTAATGATGAAAAGGTCGGGATTTCGAAAAATCCGCCCCTCGACATGGGATACTTGTACTTCTTTGAAAGACTGGAGAGTTAAAGATGGAGTTCAGGGCAGGTTAGATGAATGTTAAAAAACAGGGCGGAGGACCCGGTAACTTGGTGGAATTGTTGCCAGCAGGTTGAATACATACAACAGTTTTCGCACATATGCTGATCATGCATCATTTTAGCGAGATTACATCCCATTAGCTGAACTTTGATCATTCGCTGGATTTTAAAGTATTAGCCTTACATATTTGTGGAAAATTTTGAATTTTGATTTTCTTCTGGTTCATATAATTCTGTTCTATGCTTTTTTTACTTTATCTTTTCCTCTCCCTTGATCTAAGGTTTGATTTTTCCAGGAGAATGAAGAGTTAATTGTCGGGTTTTAGGTAGATTTTACCGAGTCTCTAATTGATAATTAGCTGGTCATTAGAAATTAACTTGTGGAGAAGTTCCTTTGTCATGTCAGCATCAGGTATTCACGATTTACATTTTTTCCCCCGACTATAGGTGTCTATCTAGTCACTTTCTTATTTGTTTAAAAAGGAAAAGACAACAATAAGCATTGAGAAGGTCTCAATGGGCAATCTTGTGAAACAATCTGTTAATTGAAAAGAAAAGTATGGGTCAAATGGCCGAGCAAGTTAAAGAAGGTTCATGTTATGCACGGCCAATTCTCCAGCTTATGATTCGAATAGGAAACGTGAATATATCAAGAATGTTCAAGCAATAGATTGATCTGGTGAATTATTTGACCATTTCAGTTACAACATATTTTTCTAGTTTCTAGCAATTTTGTCATTACAGTTTGATATTTATGTGCAAATAATCCTCCAATTGGAGCGTGGCCAAACGAATCGTACTTCTCGCAACATAAGAAATGAAGCACCAGATATATATATATATAATATACAAATTTATATACTTTTGAGGCAACCGAATATAAATAATTTTGACTGCGGGCTAAAAGTGATCTTCGCTAAAAAAAAATTTAAAAAGAAAATAACAGGTAATTTGTCAAGGCCGAATACTAGGCGTAAATCAACTCCAACTTACTGTATTGAGGGAATAATGCACTTTTTTATTTNACCCCCACTACTCAAGGAAGATGACTAGGTGATATATTATATATAGGGGGTATAGTTCTTCATTTCCTGTTATTAATCTTTTATTTCTCTAATTTGGCAAAGTTTGAGAAATAACCAGAATTTAAACTCCTGATATTACAATTTAAATTATGCTTAGTTATTGCACTATTCCGTTAAAGAATGAATTATTTGACATAATAAAAATAGGGCTGCACGTGAAAGAATATGTTGATAGATAGGTCATCAAAAGAGGAAGAATTTGACTGCAAGCAACTAAGATGGTAAAATTTAGACAAATTGGTAGACTTACGAATTCTTCATATGTTCCAGATTAATTAAAGAGAAAAATTCGTTGCTAACGTCTTTAACTGAAAACAACCAAACGCACAAATCACTTCATGACTTCATGTTGTATACAACAACAATAACAACGGCTCAGAGTAATCCCACAAGTGGGGTCTGGGGAGGGTAATATGTACGCAGGCCTTACCCCTACCCCGAGGGGCAGAGAGGCTGTTTCCAGGAGACCCTCGGCTCAAGAAGGCAACAAGAGACGATATATTAGTACCATCAATAGAATCATAATAAAATAACATCAATATAAGAAATACGAAATAAATTCAAAGTACAATAATAACCATCAGATAAAGCCCTACATCAGTAGATAACCACTAAAATCCTAGAACTAAATACTAACTGGCTAGTCTCACTCTGGTGCACCATAAAAATATTCACAACTTTCCCCTAACCTACAACCTTAATGCTCGACCTCCACAATTCCCTGTCAAGGGTCATATCCTCTGTAATCCTAAGTCGCATCATGTCCTGTCTGATCACCTCTCCCCAATACTTTTTAGGTCGCCCTCTACCTCTCCTCGTGCCCACCACAGCCAGTCGCTCACACCTCCTCGCCGGTGCATCAGTGCTCCTCCTCTGTATACATGTTGTATACATGCCACAATATTGAGTTAATGGTACCTCACTATGTAACTGAATGCACTAAGTAAATTGAGAATTTGACTTGGCAACAAAACAGGATCAACAGATTATTCTTCCATTTCGCTTAATCTATATGGAAAAGTTGGCGACTCGTTAAGCTGCTCAAAGGTGGTTTAACAATTTTGTTGAAGAAAAGAAAACCCAGACTTATCTTTAGAAAAATAATTCTAGTAGCTAGGACTTAGGAGCACAATTGCATTCATATAATATACTTATAGACTAGATTATATTTATTGTAGCTAAGTCCTATAACATGTAATATTCACACGTTGATAGTTATATTTACAGTTAGTACAAAGTCCACTAATCCTAACTCTGTGTGTAAAAGCTTGTTCATTTTGCAAATCCGAAATTCGGATAAAGAGAGAAGATTGTGATAGATTGACGATCAACATAAAACTAACCAATTCGTGATGAATTTAGGGATGACAATGGGTTGGCGGGGTGGTTTGCGGTTGCGGGCGGGGCAGGTTCAATTTTTAAATAAAAAAAATAATGTGGGGCGGGGAGGATCACGGGTGGAGATTTAATTTTTTTGAACTAATAGACATAAAAGCTAAATATTAAAACCCTAGTCACACCACATTGGTTGTAGTGCATGCGTTAAATTTTTGTGTGTAATGGATATTCTCACTAAACCATAGTAATTTAATAGGATTAGTGGTAAATTAAGGTGATTATAGGTGTTAATTAGCAGAAGGAAAAGTTTGCCGCAATCGTACAAAAATGTGCCTGCATAAGATTCAATTTGGTCCTTATGTGTATTGAAAAACAATGACAAGGCTACTTCAAAAAAGCTAAGTATATCAAAGAAAGAGAGAACAATTTGGATATAATTAATTATTTTGTTAAAAAAATCAGATTTAAGTTTAATTTTTTGAAAAAGAAAGAATTTTATTAAAAAAAATTGCGGGGCGGGTAAACGTGGATGNTTTAGACAGAACCCGCCCGCACCCGCCCCGCCCCGCCTGACATTCCTAAATGAATTCTTATAATACCAGGATCACTAAAGCCTACCATTGATTCATGAGGTATCTTCCTATCACATACTTATGTATGATTATACAATTTACCAACTCCACTTATTTGGCTGATGTATCATAGTAACTTAGTTTTCTCACGTATGCACGTCGATCTACGTTTTCAACTTTGTCAAACTCTTGTCCTCCCTTGTAATTCTTAATTAATTTGTTTTTTCTTCTTTGTTTCTTGTTTCCTTTTTTCTCCATATTTTCCTAGCTTTTCCCTTTGTTTATATATATATATATATATATATGAAATGGGCATGCTCTGGATTGTAGAAAGGAAATAGATCCAAGAGATTGGTGAAAAACAAAAATTATAGTATAACTTTTCTTTGTTTTTCTGTATTTTAATTTAGTTTTTTTCTTTGTTGGGGTTTGGTCTTTGAACTAATAAAGTTGTCAAAGAAGTTTCACTGGTTTGACGGATTCAAATTGAAGAGTACCAGCTTAGGGGCCCACACTTCTAAACCATGATGAAACTTCAACAAAAACTTATTATGCTTTCACAGAATTTCAACCCTTTATCCAGTGGAGAACTGAAATTGGTGGAAATACACTTTAAGAAAATGGTGGGTTGGGGCTGCTGCAAAATGGATAGTTAATATTATACTCGTACAAATAATTAGTGATTCCCCCTAAAAATTCAATCTAATTAATAAAATGCGAAGATACTTTTGACCAGAAGAAAGTCTTGTTAAAATTATGTGCAAATAGATTACCGCCAACCTACAACACTAGGGGCTTGTTTGAAAAGTTACTGTGTAGTTGAATTTGGGTGTAATATATACCGTGTATTTGGGGTAAAATTGATTTATAACAGATGGTCGAATGGTAGCATGACACGTGAAATCGAAAGTAAGTAAGAGGCAAGACAAGCAACAACCAATACCGAACACAACGAATGTAATCGACATAAGGTAAATCCCGAAGGGAGCATAGTTAACGGGAGGAGATCAAGGGTTTGCCATCGGATAGCATCCAATGAGGGAATATTCTCTAACATTAAATGAGCAACTGTTGTAGAGAATATTTGCATTCATAGTCTGCCGTAATATATTCATCAATGACTTTTTAATTATCATTTAAGAGCAGCTTGATCCTAAGATCTTGTTTCCTAGGTAAAACTATAAATAGCAGGCTCAACAACCATAGTAAGGGACGCAATTTTCTGCGGACATAAGTTATAATTTACTTTTGCTCTCATTTTATTTGCACTTTATCATTGCCTTCACTTTTGCCCTCAGAGGCATTGCACTTAGAGTCAGGTGATGATAGACTATAATTACGCATTTTAGTCGCTTATTACACTCAAATTTACTGCACTTTAATTGAATTTGAGCTTTAATCGCTAGTGTCTTGCACTAATTATATGTTTTATGCCTTGTAGGAGTGATTTTGAGCTATGCAGATGTTATGGAATGAATTCAAGTGATTTGAAGCTTTGAAGTCTGAGTAAAAGCCCAAGGAATTAAGCCGGGATCGCATTCGGGTATCAACGGATGATAGAGCAACAAAACGAAGAATCGAGTAGGCATATTGCGTACTGTATATTAAAATGCACATAAATTTTCGCTCAGGACTCCATTTTGGCTCCACAATATATGGTTGGAAAGCTAACTCAAAGAGCTACAACTTTCATGTTTTACGTTTTTAAAAATTACAAACTAAACAGGGTGAAAAATGCGGTCGAAAACGCGACCGCGGACCTGACGCGGACTGAGGTAGTACACTAGGAAAGTACCGCGCCCGGACTGCGGCCGCAGACGTCCAGGCCTAGAAACTTGTCCTTTTTCGCGTAGGAGAAGGTATAATTGTTTGGGCCCGACCCTACTTGGTATATATACATGGAAAACGGTATTTTGCGGGGAAGAGACTAATTTTTGACACAGATTCGACCTAAGGAGGCAGAGACACAATAGGAACAAGGCGGAGAATTCTTCTACGAGTTTTTCCTTCCTCTTCCTATTTTTCATTTTTGGTTATGACTTTTAGTATTGTAGTTTTACATACTATTATGAATAGCTAATTTGTTATCAATGGTTTTGATGGAACCTTTTGTAGGATAAATTCTTGTTATGTTTTTATATAATTGAGCCGTAGTATTTTCTCTATTTGTTCAACTATATTATTCTTGTGGTTGATTGAAGGGCCCTCAATTAGCTGTGCCTATTTAGTATGTATTACTCGAGAGAGAGTACATATTTAGGTAGTTGTTGAACAACATCACTCCCGACGTATGTGAAGAATCAATAAACAAGGGTTTAAAGGTGGGATTAGGGATAACGAAAACTTGTGTGCGATCTAAGTGAGCTGTAATTAAAGCCAGCTAGTGTAACTCGGGAGAGTATGTCTAGCAAATTGTCGTAATTACTCGGGAGAGAATTACAACACGCAGAACGTTCATGATCGGTAGAGAATACTTAGGCGAAATGATAGAAGACATAGTGGAGAGGATTCCGACAATTGGGAAAATCATAACTTTAGACCTCCTTAATCTTTTTTCCAACCTGTAGTATCTTTAGTGTTAATTTATTATTTTAATTTGTTAGTTAGTTAGTTAAACACAAGAATCTTAATATCTATAAGTTAGGAATTGTTCAAGCTTGTATTCTTGGTGATAATGAACAACTGTAGCTAAGCCTTAGTTCTTTGTGAGATTCGACGGCGGACTTGTAAATCGGATTATATTTGCATTGATCGCTTAATCCTTTTTATAAGGCATAGTTGGGGTGATTATCAGGCTTGTCATCTTCTTCAATTTCAATTGCTAAATGTCACTTTCAGTCTTATCTCTCTATCATTTTCGGATCAAATCAGTTCGCTTGTCTATAAATCACGTAACAAATACGGGTAAGCATATTTCTGTATGTTATATATAAAAAAATAATTAATTATACACTTTTACAACTACCAAACGTAAATAGTTTCGGGCTAAAAGTAATCTTTGGCCAAAAAATATCTCATCTTTGGATAAACTTAACCTCGGAGAAAAAGAAAAAAATAGGGGACTACAGCGTCTGCTGACGTAACAGGAATCTTCGTCGTTTGTCAATTTGTCTTTGGCTCATTGGATGTCGAGAGGAGACCTTCCACGCAATTTCACGCCGTTGTCCGTTAAAGAAGTTAAGCCTCAATTCGGCAGACACATCAATATCAAAACTGAAAGTCCATCCATTCCCAAAAAAGAATTAAAAAAAGAAAAGAAAAGGAAACATAACTCATTTAATTTCTTTGAATTGTATAAGCGCTTCCATTGAACTAACTTATTTAGAGTGGTAGATCCAGAGGGTAACGCACCGGTCTCGGGTACCTAACAGCTTTTGCATAGTCTTTATATATATGTTAAAAATTTTATTAAAAAATCTATAAATATTTGATTGTGAACTCAATTAATAACTTGAGATCTTTCCCATTAACTTTATAGTCTGAACCCACTTGATTCAGGAATCTCCTACTGGATCATCACTAATTAAATTGTTATAATATTCAAAAACTCCACTTAGTAGTATGTAGTTAATTAAGAAAGGTAGCAACTTCATAAGCTCGATCAGTTCTTCGACCAATTTAAAGACATTGAAATTCTCACTGTGGTGAACGTACATAACAGTTGTGCTAAAGGATATATACATCATTCTTTTATTTTATTACTATGTTTTAACACGTCTCTTAAAAAGGTGATTAATATTTTTGTCGACACCAAATACTTCTTTTTGATAATTGATGGTTATGAGATTTGAATTTAGAAGTTCTGATTTTCCTAATATCATGTTAAATTAATTCTATATCTTACTTCATCCAGAAGTTTAAGGGGTTACGAGAAATATCCACTTATTTTTTAAATAGTAAATGTTTTAACAGGTTTAAATGACGTAAATAGGACATGGGCAGAGCTAGCCCTTTGGATACGGGTTTCGGCTGAACCAGTAATTTTTGTCTAAACTCTGTATTTGTCTTAAAAAATTATTGAATTATGCACAAATTATCAATTTAGAATCCAGTAACTTAAAAAAATACAAAATTCATAAATTTCAAATTATGACTCGGCCTCTGAAATAGGATGCATTTTTTCACTTCCGTCCCTCTCTATTTAAGCTTTACCACGGTCAATATAAGTGCAGCATGTGCTGATCAACCCCCCTTCAACTAATAATCCACTTTATATTTTTGTTCAACCTTCTTCTCTTTATATATATAATTTTATCATCACACGAATTTCGATCATTCAAGTCTTTCTTAATTAGGAGATTTCTTCTTCATTCTTAACTGTATGAGCTTTGCAAGTTTTCAGTAACTTTTACTTTTCAAAATTTATTTTTCTGGCCAAGTAAAGCATCTTCTATCTCTGATTCTACGTCTTCCTTTGTTGCTTCCTCTGAGAACTTCTTGTGGAGTTTCTGGAACAAAAATTTATATTGCTAAATTAGCAGTTAGTCCACAGGATCGCAACTATGGTCAACAATATTGCAAAGTCATCACTTCACAATTTCTTCCACAAAAGGTGCATATATATATGCTCTCTAATTAATTAATTAATTTTCTGAACTGCCATTGCATGTGTACGTTTAGTATGATCTGTCTACATCTTTTCAATTTTTCGTTATTGGGTGTTAGTTTGATCAATCTTCAGAGTTAAGTGTAATAGAATAATTTATTTTTTTCCAATATTCAAAAGCAAATTTAGAAGTTTAAACTTTTTCATATTAAAATTAGCAAATAAGAAAATACTTCATAGTATTATTAGTCAAAGTAAATTAACTCTGAGAACAAAAAGCATTTGGGAGGAAGAGTAAAATATATTCTTCCTTTAGTTTCCTACTATTTGCTTTAATTTCCTTCAATTTGTCGAAGATATATAGTGACCAGAAGAGGGGATGTAACTGACATTGGTTGTTCTTGGTCAGCATCAATTTTAATTTTGGTGATCATATATACACACAATTTCTTTTCCCACATAAAACTGATAAAATTACAATAGGAATTGAGACATTATTGAAATTCTTCAGCTATATTAATTAGGATTTCAAAAGGAATATAGGACATAATAAAAAAATGAAAGGTTTGACACAAGAACAAAACAAACCTGTTCATTAAGTCGTATATTTGGACAAAGACCGTTGTTGTTGTTAAGAAAAAGGATGGCTTCTTGATGCTTATAAAGCAACTCCAAATATAATACATGGGCATTAATGAGTCTATATGGACAAATGACTTTCGAAAAGTAATCATAGATACATATTCCATCCTTTTTCCGGACACAATTTAATTAGATGAAGTTTAAGATGTTAATTGACTTGTATATTATTTATTAAATTTTAATATTAGTACGTGTGCATGAGACATTATTGTGTTATTTACACCAAATGACCACTTTTGTGTCCAGCCTTGTATTTAGAAGTTGACCACCTTTTCAAATTTAGACTCGTACCTTACTTATCAGTTTTGAATTTTAAACTTTAGACCCGGTGATCCCAGTTGAACTTCAGACCACTGGTCTAATTCCAAAAAGTGATCAATTTCTAATTAAAAGCCAGAAAAGTGGCTATTTGTGTAAATCATGACATTCCATAATATAATGGCATAAGAATATAGTTTCCTATATGTCATAGTAACGTAAAAATTCCTAATATAATTTAGGATTGGTTGAGTATGACTTTAGCCCAAGAATTGGACTTCTAAGACAATATAATATTCCAAACAAAATAAGAAGATCAAATATGTTAGAACAATTTTTTTCCTATGGTAATCCGTAGCTTAATTATCACAAAATTTTATGCAAAAAACTCAAGAAGCAGATACTTAATTTCCTAGAATTTAATTAAATTAGATAAATATAAAGCAGAAAATTTAGGAAAAAAGGATGAACTCCTTAATGGAATAGCAAGAACCTAAATTTGATTGCTCCTAAACGCGGCTATAGAAATGTAACCATTTCCACTATTCTGCACTGTCTTTATGTAGTTTGTAGAAATTGTTATTGTTTCATGGTCATTATGACAATTTACAGTTGAATTCTTAAACCATATATATGGCCCTTGTTTGCAGTAATAAAGCACCAGTTGTAGATTGTGAAGCTGAAAGCTTTTTGAAGGATTATTACATTCCAGATTACATACTACTACCTCTACCTGAAATAAATATACAGATTGACTATGACGACATAGCTTCTTGTCCTGTACTTGTATTCATCAACTCCAAAAGTGGTGGTCAACTAGGGGGCCAACTTCTTTTGACATACCGTACTCTTCTTAACCAAAATCAGGTAAACCTCTGTTATACTTTTACAAAATACCTTTTTTACTCTGTTCCAAAATAAATGATACATTTCTAAATTAGAAAATAATTACTCTTTCATTTTTACCCATTTTAGTCTTAATGAGACCACACAAATGGCGTGACCACAAAACTTTTACCCCTTAAGCTTGCTTTTAAGACCACAAATTTCAAGTCTTCTTTTTTCTTCTTAAACTATGTGCCAGTCAAATTAACTCATCTAGATTGAAACTGAGGGAGTAAAATGTTAACTCAACTTGTATATATTGTTGGAAAATTGTGACACCAACAACAATAACAACAAACTCACTAGTTTCCCACAAGTGGGGTCTGGTCTGGGGACGATAAGATGTACGCAACCTTACCCCTACTCTTGGAAGGGCAGAGAAGCTGTTTCCGAGAGATCCTCGGCTAAAGAACGACTGAAAAAGAAAAGGTAATTGCAACAAATAGGAATAACAGCAAGATAAAATAAGATTGAATCCAAGAATACAATCAAACTGTAGGTAGTAATAGTCATCTATGGATAAAAGATATCATACTAACACTAATGCTAGCAAACTGAGTAAGACAAAGACAAACGCTCGACTACCTATGAACCTTATATCCTAATCTTTGACCTCCATACCTTCCTGTCTAGGACCATGTCCCCAGTCAGCTCCAGCTGCGCCATGTCCCGCTTAATAACCTCTTCCCAAGACTTCTTAGGCCTACCTCTACCCCTTCTGCTACCCATCGAGGCTAACCGCTCGCACCTTCTAACTAGGGCTTCTTGTTGGAAAATTGTGAAAGTTGTATAAATGCAAAGGTTAAGTTATTCAATGACTGTTTTCAGGTGTTTGATTTGGGAGAAAAGGCACCTGACAAGGTTCTACATCAATTTTACTCCAATTTAGAAAAGCATAAGCAAAATGGAGATAGCTTGTCACATGAAATTGAAAGGAGATTGAGAATCATTGTGAGTTTTGGTTATAAATTGAAGTATTACTTATTTGTTATTTGATTGATATATCTGAAGTATATTTAGTCACATAGGTAGCAGGTGGGGATGGAACAGCAGGGTGGATTCTTGGTGTTGTTTCAGATCTTAAATTGGTTCATCCACCTCCAATTGCAACTGTGCCATTAGGAACTGGAAACAATCTACCTTTTGCCTTTGGCTGGGTAAGACACTGAGATCACATTATCTGATGGAGCAACTTATTCTATATATGGCACTTGAACACATTGCCATAATTATCCCCCGACTCAATAGATGTAATTCCGCTGTTTCTAATACTCTTTACAAGTATAAAATAAAAAAGGTGTTGGTCTATATGCAGAATAATGCCCTTTGTGTTTAGACGCCGATCTAGTATATAGACACTGAGTGCACGTGCACCCACTGCTCGTGCTCAAACAATGTATATCTGCATAAAAGTTTCAACGCTGCCTTTAAATTCTTGATTTGTTTATGCCTATGTTAGTCACATTCCTTTTATAGAGTACTCTTGTAGGTATTCTATCAATTAACTTTACATCTGCTTGAGAATATGTCTAATGATTGCAGGGGAAAAAGAATCCCGGTACTAGTTGCCAGTCAGTGAAGTCATTCCTGAGTCAAGTGAAAAATGGAAAAGAAATGAAAGTTGACAGGTAAAGTTGGTTTTAATTGAGTGGTGAATTTGAAGGTTCTCTGCATACCTGCTTGTCAACAAATACATAAGTGTTTCCCCTGATGTTATCATGCCTTAGTTATTGCTGTAAATATCTGCTTTGTCTTGGCTTGTAATACACCATTCCATCAACTAATCTTCACTACATACAGTGTCCAATACTTCCTCAACTATCCTGCATTAATTTGAATAATGCTAGGGGTTTTTACTGGCAGAGGCGAAGCCAGAATTTGAAGTTTATGGGCTCTGAATTTTCCACAGAACACATAGTTCGTCTTAGTTACTGGGTTCATAATTAAATATTTATACATATTTAATGAATTTCCTTGAATAAATAAAACGTTTAAGCAAAAGTGACTGGGTTTGGCCGAACCCGCACACTGTAGGCTAGCTCCGTCTCTGTCTACTGGAAGCTTTAAGAGTGAAGAAAACCTAAGAACATCATGATGATAGCTTTTCTAGATTTCTGACTTTAAAATATCGGATCATGAATAGAACTCTTAGCAGAGATTTTTACACCATCTCTAGGTATTCCTAATCTAAACATTATAGCTGGCAGGATGTTTTTATTTATTTAAAAGTTTTAATAGTGGTGTCTGGGCCAGCTTGCACACACCTCAACTATTCTATCAGATACCTGCTACATCCCATCCTTGCAAACATCTAGTTTCAGTAACTCCTGATTCTAATTACTTAATTTCTTTTGTTAAACTGAAGTGTGGTTGCTGTTAAAATCATGACTCTACTGAATTTTATGTGAACAAAGAAGATTTATCTTAGTATTCTATACTTTGAGTCAAGAATATACCTTTTGAGATATATTAGTGTGTATAACATGAATCTGCAACTTTTGCTACCTCCATTGGCTGGCTGGATTTCTAGCTCCCTACAATGCACGGACAAGTTTTTCGGCATAAAGATGATCCATTTACCATAGACTACCTTTTCATTAAGTAAACCTGAAATCTTCACTTGGCTGACATGATGGTTATTACGTTTCAGCTGGCATATTCTTATGAGAATGAAGGCTCCAAAAGAAGGTTCTTGTGTTCCTATTGCACCTCTTGAGCTACCACATTCATTGCATGCTTTTCACCATGTGTCTCGAGTTGATACTTTGAACAAGGTATCAAATTGTTCAGTCCATTTTTCTTTTGTTTAGTGTATAAGTCAGCTAAAAATATATTCCAGCAGAGAGTATCTAGATTTTCCCTTTCCGTCGTCTACTGGAAATGTGCTGCTTATTAACTTCTTGTGCTTAAGTAAATGAAATCTTACAACTAGAACAATGTTCCACCTTAAACATCCTTTCTAGATGCTAGAATACATCTGATATCTGATTGATTGGGTTAAAAAATAACTTGTTGATCTTATACCTTGCTAATTTTTGCTTGAGAAGTCTGATACTCTCGCTAAGGAAATGAATAAGTTAATTTGATTTCACCTGCTTAAATTTATCTCCCTCTTATCATGCATTGCTTTACCTTAAGGTGCACTGTGCCTATTTCCAGGAACACCATCATATATTTCGAGGAGGATTTTGGAACTACTTCAGCATAGGCAAGTGTTTTAATCCCTCCTCTGAAATATATCTTTTATTGGTTATTGTAGTATTCAAATACTCCACTTCAGCACTTGAAGCTTAAATGAATTCTATGGGATGGTATACATTTGGCCTATTTATTGAACATTCCAGACAAATTGGTTTATGACACCCTTCTCTATCTAATGCAAAGCTATACAAGAGGTCTACATTCCCTAGAAGCACTGCATTTTTTAATCAGTGTCATGATTTTATCAAGAACTTAATTCTTGCATTATCTAGTGTTGTATTCTTTTCATTCCCGAGTAGAAGCTTTTCACTTTCATTTTTCCGTAACTTGCAGGAATGGATGCTCAAGTTTCATATGCATTTCACAGCGAGAGGAAGCTACATCCAGAAAAGTTCAGGCACCAGTTAGTTAATCAGGTTCTCCTTACTGTCATTTGGAACATGGTGTCATTTAAATTTCACTACTTGTGGTTTGTTTTTATGTTCTGAAGTAGCTTACAAGTCTCTTGACATGTCAAATACGGCTACATAATTCTAGATACCTCTGCAACGAATGGTCTCCCATTGTGGATGTTTGTTCAATTTCATCTTTTTTCCTATGCTTCTTAATGGTGGTCCTTTTGTTTTCTATTTGTTCAATTACTTTTATTTGAAATCATCTCTGATAGTCCTTTCTCTTTTTTTACGATTTGTTTAGAGAACTTATGGAAAGCTTGTATGTAAACAAGGATGGTTTTGCACTTCTTTCGGGCATCAATCTTCAAGGTTAGTCTTCTAGTCAAGGTTAACCTGTATATATCGATGGTCATATCATGTGTTTCTTTATTTGTTTTAACACAGTCCATTACCTTTCTCCCCTGCCACTGCCAGTATGAACATCACTATGGTTTAGGAAATATTTTTAGTGATAGTTAGTTCCAAGAGGTTTCTTTTTGCATGTGCTAGAAGAAGGAAGATAAAACTATTATTTATGACCTAGCGACAAAACATTTTAGATATTTAATGAACTATATGGCCATAATGCCAGGAAATGGACCTTCCGTAATATCATAGTCTATGTTATTAGGAATATGTGGTATAGCATCAGCATATTTATCTCATTATGAATCCTCAGTACCATTCTCATGCTTTATATTTGCCTTTATTTGATATCAGATAGTTGTGTAACATGACATTTATGATCTTGGCATCTTTACACTTTGTCACCAACTGCAGAGAATTTATTCATATGTCTATTGATCTATGTTTTGTGTTCCATTAGTATGTGAGGATGGTGAGGCAACAGTCCTCTCTGATAACGACAGGTCATTTGCTTGTTTCCTTTTTTTTACTTTTAGATCTCCAGTAGGTGAATAGATGACAAAAGTTTTGGAAACCTTCACAAATAGATGTTCATGAGCTGGTAAAGACCTATGATATTGTTGTTGCTTGTGGTTGTATGTGCAGCATTAGGTCTATCGTCTGCCTTAATTTGCCCAGCTTTTCTGGAGGACTTAATCCTTGGGGAAAACCTAACAAGAAGAAGCTGCATGAAGTCAGTTTCTATATTTTCCTTATATCTATGATGAATACTGTGTTAATAAGATTAGTTGGCTGTATTCGTCTAGTAAAACATTTTCTGTATTGCTTTATGTTTTTTACTTTAACAGAGGGACCTTACTCCTCCATATGTTGATGATGGTATGCTTGAGGTTGTTGGTTTCCGAGATGCTTGGCATGGACTTATTCTGTTTACTCCAGGAGGACATGGGACGCGTCTTGCACAGGTTTTTATATTAGAAAAAATTCTTGGGATCGGTATATATTTGATCAATTCAATGTGTTTCTCTAGTGCATTTTGTTAAGTTGTTTACCTCGAAAATACGAGTAACAATTAAACTTGTTTGTGGTTTTAAAGATATGTGATTTAGTTCAATACTAATTAATAACCAAGAAATCTGACGTATAAATGAAAGAAATAAATTGAATAAAACCAGTGTTTAAGCAAGTCTTGACCTTGAGCTGTGATGGCCTTGAGGTTGGTCAATAAGAACAGTAAAATAAAGACAATGAAGTTTAGAGACAATTCTGATGAAATATGAGCAAGAAAGTAAGAGAGTATATTCTTTGCCAATGATTTGATGATGACTACAAATGATTGGGGTCCCCTTTATATAGCAGGGGAATCCTAAATAAGGTACATTTCTATTTACAGTTAGGAATCTTATTGTGACAGCTGTCTAACCGCCTAGTACGGATTCGTACCAACTCGTACAAATCTATTCCAGAATTCACGCCATGATCTTGGGGACGTGGCGGGAATCTTGCTTTTTCTGTTACAAACCCATAACGGCATCATCTCGGGGTTGGGCATACTCGGCTTCGGTACCCATCGCGTACTTCGATCTTCGAGCCTTGTACTCTATCATCGGGCTCGAGCTTGGTCCATCGGGCTCGAATTCGACCCACCCTGAACTCGGGCTTCATAAGTTCTTTGCTTAATAAGTGCTCATAATACAGAGAAGCTACATGCTCTTTGTTTTTATCATGGATTTATAATGTTGTTATGTATTTTATATTCTGCAGGCGAACAGAATTCAATTTGAGTTTCAGAAGGGTGCAACTGAGCATACATTTATGAGGATGGACGGGGAACCATGGAAGCAACGCCTTCCCACGGATGATGACACGGAGGTCATAGAAATATCCCATTTTGGTCAAGTGAACATGCTCGCCAGTCCACCTTGCCGATCCAGAAGTATCAATGCGCCTACCTCAGATCACTTTCAGGAGGAAGAGAAAGACAACAATCATGAAAAAGATTTTGAAGACGACTCAGAAGAGAGGAGAAAGTTGGGTGCAGCTGACACTTTCCGGATACCAGATGGTTTTGACATAACACGTCTCTAGTTAGGTGTTTTGAAGGTCTTGGTGGATAAAGTTATCCGATACTTCCGCTGATAGGAGGTAGGATGTACCAGATAAAATAGTCGAGGTATGAACACGCTCGCCGGGACACCACCATATAAAAAACAGTTTAGGCCTTCGGAAGCAGCTACATCATTTGATCATGACACCAATTATAAAATTGTATATTAGTATTAATAGTTTGCATTACTGGCATATTACCAGTTTGCTTCTAGTCTCACTTATTTTTTCTTTCTTTTTTAACCCACATAAATAGCTCTCCGATTTCTTCTAATGTGGAGGTGCTCTACCAACTTAGCAATTATCACTCTTTAACTTCAACTGAGTATTTCAATTCTAGATAGGTTTTGTTACTAGTCCTCGCTATTTTGGCTAATATGATCTATGTAATGTATAACAACCTTTAATGCCCTGAATTTTCATAATAATATCTTGTGCAATGGTGATTTGCTGTACTTGCTTGAAGCAAAATGTTGATGTCACAGTCAGTGCTTGACGTTTAGACCTCGTATAGCAATGATAATGAAAAATGGCAGAATAGACCCAAGGAATGTCTGTAAGTTGAAAAGTGTTAAAAAAATGGCACAATACCAAAACGTCCCCAACTTCATCTTTTAATTTCTTCTTTCCAAGTTTACAGGAGTTTTTGATATTTCAAGTTTCTTGTTAGAACTTACAAATCTTATTGAAGTGATATCTCCTATAATTAATAAATTGGAAAGCTGTAACATAAAAAAAAACGTTCTAAAGAAGCTTGTGTGTTATATTTGTTTGACCAAAAAATATAAGCTTTCGGTTAAACTATTAAATTTTATGTAATAAGGGGTTAAACTTAGTTAATAATAATATCTCTAGATATAGAACATTACAACATGGATAACGTAGGATAAAGTCGGTGGGAGATTGAAAATAACACACATTTAATATTCCAAAAAGTATGGATAATAATGGGGAATAACTAGCAATAAATGACATTTATGTAAATAGGGAGAATGATTCACCCAATAATTAATGAAATGGATGATTGTTCCTTCTGATAATGATGAACAACATACAAATCCTCGAATATTCGAATTATTTGCAGATCTGATAGAAAGATATGGAATGAGGTGTGCAAGAATATTGTAAAAGGTAAAGTTTGTATCTTTGCTAGAGAGAGAATCTTCTTCTGAAAAGTGTTCTTACCTGTTGCGGAATATCGTGAGTTAACTAGCACACAATCACACACAAAACAAATAGAGAAGAAAAATCAACACATGGATTTAACAAGGTTCGGCTAAGCCTAATCTCCGGGGCAAAAGCAGAGAGAGTTTTCCACTATGAATGAGAAGAAAAGCACAATACAATCTATAGAATCCCCAACTACAACCCCTATATATAGATCCCAAAAGGCCCCAAACATATATGAGAAAGGTTTCCCAATTTGACAAGGACTATAGATTTTCCTTTCCCAAATCTATTAGGACAATGAGTTTTCCTAAACCTATAGGGACTGTGAGTTTCCTAAAAATACAAGGAAATAATTCAAGCCACAAATAACAAATCTTCCCCTTGGCTTGAATTCTCTTCATCAACAGGAACAACGTCTCTCTACCTTGCCCTCAGCCCTCGCAAGGGCTCTATTGATTGCCGCACGCATCAACCAAGTCTAGGCAACGCCTAAACTTGTTAAGAGACTTAATCTCTTCAGGCATAGCACTAATCCGTCGATTTGGTTCTGTACCCGAAATAGCTTTTGGATAGCTATAACACTCAAACGCATCAGCGGTTTCTGCAATAACCAAAGCATATCCCACAGGATTCGTATATCCAAGAAGATTCCCATCAACTACGTTTGCAAACCTTTGCGGTCGGTTGATCACTCTCTTCTCTCTGCATGTTGCAATGCTATATGGTTGTTGTTACACATGTGCATCAACATTATCGTCTTGATTAATATTTTGCACCTCCTCCACTCCCTCTACTATAGAACTACTGGGCTGAGCTAGTGGAGATTTAATTTCTAGTTCTATGCGGTCACTGACACCACGATCTATTTCTGCTATTGCCTTCTCCCTCTGACTGTCCAGTGAGGCAGATTCATTGAATATTACATCCCTACTGATAATTAGCCTGGAGTCTTTTGATATGTGCATCACAACCTATAACCTTTCACTCCAGTTGTATACCCTAGAAATATGCACTTCTTTGCCCTCGACTCAAGTTTTCCATCCCTCACATGAGCATAAGCTGGTCAACCAAATATCCTTAAATTTGAATAATCAGCAGGCGAACCGGACCATACCTCAAAAGGAGTTTTGAACTCAATAGTTATGGATGGAGATCTATTGACCAAATAACAAGCTGTATTGATTGCTTCAGCCCAAAAATCTTTGCTAACACATGAGTGTGAACGCATGCTTCGTGCCCTATCACAAAGCGTTCTATTCATACGATCTCCAATACCATTTTGTTGTGGTGTTCCGATACAAGTGCGATGTCTCACTATGCCCTCTCTGCTGCAGAAATTATTGAACTCAGAATTGCAAAATTCCAACCCATTGTCAGTTTGAAGACGCTTAACTTTTCTTTCTGTCTGCCTCTCAACTATCGTCTTCCATTTAACAAATGTCGAAAATGCCTCATCTTTTGTTTTCAGAAAATACACCCACACCATTCTTGAGTAATCATCAATCAAAGTCATAAAATACCTGGCACCACTCTTGGAGGGAACTCTGTTTGGACCCCACAAGTCAGAGTGTATATAATCTAACTTGTCTTTGGTCTTGCGCTCTGCCTTCTTGATGAACTTTACCCTTGTCTGNATGCTCACAAAAATTCAAAACTTGATTTTTGTACCCATTCAGCAAATTCTGCTTACTCAACAAAGACAATCCATTATCACTCATATGGCCAAGTCGCAAGTGCCACAACTGAGACTGATTCAGATCACTTTTCCCAGAAGCTACAGCAGCTTCCCCTTCAACTACACTGGCCTGAAGATGATACAATTTAGAATGTAGATTACCCTTCATGAGTACCATGGAGCCTTTACACACTTTAAGTATTCCATTCTCTGAGTGATATTTATACCCTTGATCATCCAAAGTCGAAAGAGAATCAAATTTCTCTTTATCCAAGGAACATGCCAACACTCAATGTTTCTGATAATTCTGTCGAACATTCTCAATTTGATATTACCAACCCCCTCTACTGGTAATGGATTATCATCTCCCATATAGACAATCCCACTCATTTGTTTGTAAGTTGCAAACCAATTCTTGTGTGGACACATGTGGAAAGTAGCACCAGAATAAAGAACCCAAGAATTATGCCCATGACTAGAACTCACAGCACAAACTTCCCCTACATAGTCACTATCATCAGAATTATTTCCAGTGTCAACAATATTTGCCGAATTATCTATTTTCTGCTTCCCTCTTTTCTTTTTTAGCTTAGGATAATCTCTCTTGTAGTGACCTTGCTCCCCGCACTCATAACAGTGTTGCTTTCTTGCTCTAGACTTTGATCTTGCGGTTGACTTTTTCCTGTTAAAGTCCTTTTGTTGTGTTCTTCCTCTAATCACAAGACCCTCGCCCTCAATTTTGCTGTCTGGAAAGTTCTTTTTCAACTCTTTAGATTTTAGTGCATTACTAACATCTTCTAGTGAAATGTTGTCTTTCCCATATAGCAGTGTATCGACAAAAGTATCATAAGACTGAGGTAAAGAACATAACACAATCAAGGCCTGATCCTCACTCTCAATTTTGATATCCACATTCTTCAGGTCCATTATAATTGAATTAAACTCATCAAGGTGAGTTTTAACAGGTGTACCTTCGTTCATACAAAGATTGTATAACCTCTTTTTCAGGTAGAGGCGGTTTGTCAGCGATTTCTTAGAATACATATCTTCCAGCTTCTTCCATGCCGTTGCTGCAGAAGTTTCTTCAGCATTTTTCCGAAGAACTCTATCTGTAACGCTTATGAAGATCGCACTCAAAGCCCTCTCCTTCAGGTCTTCCTTCTTTGTCTCTTTCATATCTTCAGGAAAATCCTCATCAATCGCTTTCCATAATCCTTGTAACACCAGGGATGATTTCATCCTAATCTTCCATAGACTGAAACTAAAACCTCCGTCAAATTTCTCTACTTTGTACTTTGTTGAAGATGATGAAGACATCTTAACCCTAGATTATATGTAAACACTCGAACCTTGCTCTGATACCAATTATTGCGGAATATCGTGAGTTAACTAGCACACAATCACACACAAAGCAAATAGAAAAGAAAAATCAACACAAGGATTTAACGAGGTTCGGCTAAGCCTAATCCTCGGGGCAAAAGCAGAGAGAGTTTTCCACTATGAATGAGAAGAAAAACACAATACAATCTATAGAATCCCCAACTATAAGTCCCAAATATATATGAGAAAGGCTTCCCAATTTGACAAGGACTATAGGTTTTCCTTTCCCAAATCTATTAGGACAATGAGTTTTCCTAAACCTATACGGACTATGGGTTTCCTAAAAATACAAGGAAATAATTCAAGCCACTAATAACATTACCAAGTGAATATTGCCTCCCTTACACTATTGTCTCTTTTTCTATTTATATGAGACATGTCCCTGACAAATCCTAATAGCATAAGTGCAGAGAATATTAATAAAATATTCTCTTTAATATCATATTACAAGAACTAGCCGTTATTATTCTGTCCTTGGTGCTCGACCTCGACCATTGTTGACAGCCCGACCACGAATCCCAATGTTTCTTGGTCGGCCTCGACCGCACCTTTTCCTTAATGCCGCTTTATGCTAAATTCTCTCATGGCAGATTTAGTGTTACAAAAATATTTTAACTGTCTATAACCCTGATACCGAATTTGAGGGAATAAAAGACACGAAATTTAGATTAAATACTTACTAAATATACTCTATTTTGTATTCACTAAGATCTATAACAAGTCATGCCAGTGAAAAAACGAGAATTAAAATTTAATTATTTTTACATATAAAAATACTTAAACATTTTGAAACAAGATAAGAAGGAAAAAATCCTGAACAAATTAGTATGGATATTGGAATATGATTATTCTTTTTTTTTCTTTTTCTTTAATATTCTTAGGATAAGGATCGGTCTCCAGGCCTATTGACAAAGAGAAAACCATGTGCGCCCCTGCTCGCTCCCATAGTCCTGTCCTTAACAAAGAAAGAGAGTTGAGGACCAGTATCCTAAACAATTTGCTACCGCCCATTCCTTAATCTTAAACATTTTCTCTTTGCACGTTCAATGTACATACCCCCACTTGTCATTGAAAACCAGGGGACAAGTGCCTCTCACCGCTTTTTTTCCCAGTTTCCTAGATAACAATTTCCTATGGCTTTCATTTTCATCCTCCTATATAAGAAAGTGCCACTAACACTTCATTTTCATCCAATATCACAAGCAAATTAAAAATCAAATTAAACACCCATTTTTTCAAGATTCAAGGAGAAGCAGCAGCAAAATGAGTTCATCAAGAAGAGCTTGGATAGTGGCAACAAGCATTGGAGCAGTGGAGGCATTAAAAGATCAAGGTTTTGCTAGATGGAATTATACAATGAGGTTATTACATCAACATGCCAAGGCTAATCTCATGAGGCCTTATTCTCATCAAGCTAAGAGAGTCTCTGGTGGACAATCTTCGAAACTTGTGTCAAATAAAATGCTAAGGGAGCAGAAATTGAAACAATCTGAAGAGTCTTTGAGAAATGTCATGTACTTGAGCTGTTGGGGACCTAATTGATACTGTCAATCTGATTATCTGTAAATATTGATGATCACGATAAATCACTTGAATGTTGTCTTAAATGTTGTTGCCTTTTAGTTTCTCCTTGATTAATTTTATCCTAATTAATCTCTCATTATCTCTATTGAGATACTAAAAATGGAAAGATGGAAAATACAAACTTCCACTCACAACCAATCAGCTAACTTTAGAGCTTGGGTACAATGTGGAATACTCAGAACTAGACCAAAAGGCAGAGTGTTGAGATAAAAATTGGCTGCCCATGTTACATGTTACGACACTCACTTAGCAAAGAATAATTATCGACTCCTCGTATTTCCGGATAGCATGTGTAAAGAGATCGGCCAACAATCAAATAGGAGTAATTTTCAGAGCCGGGAGCCCGAGGGTCTATTGGAATCGGCCTTTCTACCTGCATTAGTTAGGTAGGGGTAAGGTATGACGCAAAGACTATCCTCTCCGGACCCATCTGTTAGGATTATACTTGGCTTTGTTATTGTTGTTGTACTCTTGTTTAGTTTGTTTGGTGGTTATTAATTTTCTATAGCTATCATATAAATAATTACTTTTTATAGTTACTATTCAATTGTTATGATAATGCGTTTGCTGTATTCGCGCTGCTGTATTCATTTTAGTTGTACAAATATTTATTCGCGTCACGTATTCATGAATACAGTAACGACAATCATCTTAAAATAAGTATGTTCAGCTGTTTAATAACGGAGATAATATAAATTTAGCGCGATACATATACATTCCTAATATAACTCAACAAAATTAATTTTAACATGGTTCATTATCAACCCAATTAGTTAGAATAATTTTTCAGTTGTATATAACTTTTGTATTTAGTGTGTTTCAATATATTTTTTTCACTGTTGCATTTATTAGATTTAACGTTTGTATTTATTATATTCGCTATTTTATATTCAGTGTATTCAAATATATATTTGTATTAATATTATTTTAATTATTCTTAATACATGTTGTTACTCTTGTCTTCAGTATATTTCATTGGTTGTATTCACTGCATTTCTATTTGTATTCAGTGTATTTTTTTACTGTATTAAGTGGATTTCATTATTTATTCAGGGTATTAACTCTAAGGTTTACTAATTATTTGATAGAAATTTTATTTCCCATAGCAAAGGTATACACCATATTTATTATAAATCAAAATCATTTTTAGTTAGTACTTATTTGGTTAGTCAGGAATTAAAGTAATTCAAAGTTAACTCGAAGAACCAAAATAGGCGAAAAAATAGAATTAATACCCTAAAATTTTCTTAAATTATTACCTTTTTGTCCGTTTCCTATTTAAACTATTTGGTGTCTCTCTAAATTATATTGCCGTTCATATTAAAAATTCGTCGTTGTGTTTTTACATGAGCGTCTAGTACACGCTCCTAATTATCTAAAAATATGTCATGTGGCACTACATGTGGCTATTTACCTCAACCTAAAATCCCCATAAACGGTAACTTTTTTGTCAGGTTATTTAGTGCCCCTAAAACCCTCTAAACTATATTTACTTATATATTAAAACCCCATATTGAATTCTTAGAGGCACGTCTGTCTAACTATATTAACTTATAGTTTGTACTAATTTCTTTTATATGTAATTTACTCATGATGTAATACTCTCAGGTGACTGATTAATTCTAGGAGTTTTGGCTAAAACAGTATCTAATGTAATGGGTAAAATTTTAGGTTTAACTGTGATTGTACTTTATATTAGACTCCAATTGAATAAGTCCTTATTTATATTCACTTTGCATCAGAATAAAAAATTAAATAAGGCATGTAGTGTTGCATTTATGAAAAATCATCTTATATTACATAAATAAAATTACACAGAATTAAAATCTCGCAAATAAGAAACTAATCAGCCAACAACTACATTCTCTAATTCTAAATTACACAAATAAGATTTAAGAGATTCAACTTTATTCTCTACGACGAGGTGATAGATATAATAAGAAGATTCAAATAGGTGTTTTTTCAACAATATGTGTAAGACATGAATGGAGACTAAAAATAGAAAGAAAATAAATTATTTTAGAGGAAACAAAAGGAGAAATGTTTTCAGTGGGAACCCATTGAAGAAAATAGGTGAAATAAATGAAGAAGAAAGTGAAAAATAAAAAAAGAAAGGTGAAATATAAGGAAGAAAGGTGGATGTAAAGGAAATAAAGAGAATATTTATTTTAAAAAAATAAAATTGAAAGAGGGTTAGGCTAATTAGCCATTACATTCTGTCAGGTGGGCCATTTTGAAGGCTTTTTCAGCTATCACTCGCTCTCAAGCGAATGTGTACACACGTTATGTCAGGTAAGCAATGAAGGAGTTTAAATATAAAGGATAATATAGTTCAGGGAATTTTGTGGACACCGAATAATTTAAGTAGAAAACTGACAAAGACGTAATAGTCTAAGGGAGTGTCATGACCCAAAATCCATTAAGGGTCGTGATGGCGCCGGACACTACTATTAGGCCAGCCAACACCAAGAAGTTAATTAAGTTCTCATTTTAGTATTTTTTTAAATTATTTTTTTTCTTACATTTTCACAATAAATAATGAAATCCACTGAATAAATAACGATGTTTTTAACGAACTTAAATATTGAATAATTCCATAGTCATCCCAGAGCCCGGTGTCAAAAGTGCATGAGCGATTTCTAGGAAATAAAGTACAATACGATAACTGTCCGGAATACAATTGGACAGAAAAGAATTACAATACCCTGAAAGAGATTCTTTTGGCTGCGGGTCGTCTCGAGAGATGCAGCTCACTTAAGTCTCTGTGTTAGCCATGCCGCTACGCCCAACGAGGCCACTAGACATACATGTGCCTGTGCAACAAAAACGCATAGCAAATGTAGTATGAGTACGAAAACAACGCGTACCCAGTAAGTATCCCGTCTAATCTCGAAGAAGTAGTGACGAGAGGTCGACTTCGACACTCACTGGTGGTCCAATAAATAAATACCAAAATGTGCAAAAGCATGGATTTTATAAAGTAATTTCAAACTCAATAAGCATGAAGTAGATAAACAATTCTTGGTATAATAAGAGATTTCCAAAGATTTATATATCATCATTTATCAATTTATCTCAGGCCAGAGAGGAAATATCAGTATTTATAAATGCCAAGGCAAGTAATACAAGCATGCGCAAATCATGTCGAGATCGTACGACTCGATCCAACATAATAATAAAATGTGCACTACTAGAGGGTCGAATGGCGCGAATCATAGATGCATCTATTACCCCGCTCGCAAATCATACGTGCCACGCGGTCAAATATAAATAATAGAGTTACCCCGCTCGTGAATCATACATGCGACACAGGTACCCATAGATAAAGACATTCAAACAGTCAATCCAGACTTCATCAGAAAGCAACTACCCAAGGAAATGACAATTTCTCTTTTAACGGTGAAGAAAATGGTGTTTAACTTTTTAGAAATTCATTTGCCATGTTCGATATGATTTAAGCATATTAAATTGACCATAAAGTTACAAGTATGACAAGTAAGCATGCTTTTGGATCCTAGACTACCCGGACTTAAGCATTTTAGTAGCTACGCACGGACTTTCATCACCTCGTGCATACGTAGCCCCCACAAATAGAAGCACATATCCAATTATTTCACCTATGGGGACAATTCCCTCTTACAAGTTAGAAAGGAGACTTACCTCGCTCCGAAGTTCCATAACCGGCTTCTAAGCCCTTCCGACGACTCAAACCGATGCCCAACACTCCAAAACTAACCAACAATTATGCAAACTCATTAGTATATGCTCAAATACTCATAACAATTCAATTTATATCAATTCCCCAACTCCGCTCGAAAAGTTGACCAAATCTCCCTCGGGCCCACATGCTCGGATTCCGAAATTTCTCGAAGATAAAGTTTACCCACAACCTCACGAACTCAAATATATAATTTACTCTAAATTTCATGCCCAAAATCGTGGTCAAAATCCAAGAATACCATATTCCTAGGTTTTCCTCAAAATCCTAAATTTCTACAAATTTCCATACTTTAATCTGTATCTAAATCATGTATTTAACTTGTAATGAGTGGGAACAACTTACCTTGACATTGATGACGAAGAATGAGCTTCAAAATCGCTCCAAGACCGTCTCTCATGGAGGAAATGAGGTGAAAATGAGCCGACCCCTCGTTTTTAAAAGAACACACTGCCTCCAGCCTTTCCGCACTTGCGGTCACTTGACCACTTCTGTGGTTCCGCAGGTGCGGCCCCACTACCGCTTCTGCAGTCTTTCACCAAGCCCCTCACTCCGCTTCTGCGCTTCCCCTTCCGCAGGTGCGGTCCTGCTTCTGCGGCAAGATTACCGCATCTACGGTCCTAGCATTTCCCTTCTCAACCGCATATGCGCTCATTTGGCCGCTTATGCGGCTCCACACTTGCGGCCAAGACCTAGCAGGTGTCATTACACCAGATGACACTAGGCTTTAACTCTATCCCCCAACTCCAATCCGATCCGTTAACCACCCGTAATCCACCCGAGGCCCCCGGGACCCCATCTAATCACACCAATCAATTCCAAAACATATTACGAGCCTAGTCGAGCCTTCAAATCACATCAAATGACGCCAAAACCATGAATCGCACTCCAATTCGAGCTTTATGAACTTTTGAACTTCAAACTTCTTCATTCAATGCCGAAACCTATCAGATCACGTCCAATTGACATCAAATTGTGCACATAAGTCACATTCGACATTACAGACCTACTATAACTTCTGGAATCGGAATCCGACCCCGATACCAAAAAGTCCACTTCCGGTCAAACTTCTCAAAACTTTCAAATTTCTAACTTTAGCCAAATGACTCCAAAATGACCTACGGACCTCCGAATTTACTTTCGATTGCTCTCCCAATACCAGAATCACCATACAGAGCTATTCCCAGACTCGGAATCCCATATGGACATTGATAACATTGAAATGCACTTCAACCCAAACTTATGAAATTTCTTCCAAAAAGGCTAACTTCCACAATAGGCGCCGAAACGCTCCCGGGTCATCTAAAACAAGATTCAGACATACACCCAAGTCCAAAATCATCATACGAACCTGTTGG